ATCTAAATGAGCTTGGAATGGGGTTCTCCAGCCCCAGTTGAAGCTTCAAATAACGGCAGCCCCAGCCAACAGCTTGACTGTAACCTCATGAGGACCCTGTGCCAGAGCCATGAGGCTAGGCTAAGCTGCTCCTGGATTCCTGACCCACAGAAACTGTGACATAATGAGTATTTGTTAGCTTAAATTGGTTAAGTTTTGCAGTAATTTATTATGTAGTCATAGATAACTAATATCAACAGTTCATTAAAAAAGCAAATGGAATCAAAGTATAATCATATAGATGATAATAAATCATGTGTATGTATTTTTCATATAACCCCCTGAAATTCATGATATGATATGATGAGTAGGGATTTCTGTCATTTGTCCTTCTGTAGTATTTAAATATTTTTACAATTAACTTCCTCTTACAGCTTTATTGACTTGTACTTGATGTACAATAAAGTGTACATATGTTGATATTCTATCTCCCAGTACCTGCAAGTGTGAGCTTATTTAGAAAATAGATCTCTGCTTTCTACATAGTTGAGATTAGGTCAAACTGGAGTAGAGCGAGCCCCTATCTAATGTGACTTGCATCCTAATTTAACAAGGGAAATTTGGATAGAAAGACAGACATATAGACAAAGAGAACACCATACGCAAAGCAACTACCAGAACCCAGGAAGGTGGCCTGGAACAGATCTCTCCCTAGTGCCTTCACCCTACTGACACCTTGATCTTGGACTTTTGGCCTACAGAGCCGTAAGACAATAAATTTTTGTGGTTTAAGCCACCCAGTTTTTGGTGTTTTGTTATGGCAGCTCTAGAACACTAATACATTGGTTTAAATAAAATATATTATGAAAATCAATTTTAAAAAGGCAAAATTGAATTTCTCATATCTCTATTGTACAGCACTGGTCTACAGGTATATTTAGCAACAAGTTTATCCTGTCAGGTTTAACAGGAAGTGATTTCTTCTTCTCCAAGTGCTTTGCGTGGGGGGATGCCTATCTACTTCACAACTCTAGTTAATAAAGAAAGTCAATCTATAATTAGCAAACAGCAACTGGTATTGCCTTTGTTATATACCTTGATACTCTTCCACTGGTCTGTAATCGAACTCTCGAACTCTTAGGGTTTCTTAATAATCTATTTGGAAAAATGATCTGGCTTTGACACCTGATACTCTCTCCTGAACACAATTCTTCTTTTGTACTTAAAATTTATGGACCTTCAGCCATAGAGATTTTAAAAATACTTTTAGAGAGATATGACTTTTTAAGTTTATTTTTAATTTTTTGCCATAGATAGTTTTGCTATCAACATACCAATAGCCATCCATCCATCCATCCATCCATCCATTATCCCATAGAACCAATTGGGCTGACCTGCTTGATTTTGATACTAGGGGTGGAGAACTAAACATAATCTGTATTGTTCGAAAATCAGTCAATCAATGGGAACGTAAATATTGTTCTCTGAGCCATGATGAGCATTTTAGTGCCAGTTGCTTTGACAATTTTCTAGGCAAATGTCATCTTGATTGTATGCAATGGTGTTAAACTTTAGGGACTAAATTGTTGATTTATTTGGAAGTTGATGAAGATGCTGTGTGCTCCTTTTTTGGTAGGGGGTGGATAGAGTCTTGCTCTGTTGCCCAAGGCTGGAGTGCAGTGGTGCGATCTTGGCTCACTGCAACCTCCGCCTCCTAGGTTCAAGCTATTCTCCTTCCTCAGTCTCCCAAGTAGCTGGGACTGTAGGCGCCCGCCACCACACCTGGCTAATTTTTTGCATTTTTAGTAGAGATGGGGTTTCACTGTGTTAGCCAGGATGGTCACGATCTCCTGACCTTGAGATCTGCTTGCCTCGGCCTCCCAAAGTGCTGGGATTACAGGTGTGAGCCACTGCGCCTGGCCACTGTGTGCTCTTTAAGTAAAGTTCTGGCCTGCAAGAACTTTCTCCTCCTCTCTTCTAATGAAAAAATATTAAAAAAACGAATCTTTGGGGGAAATTTACCCCCAAATATCACTTTAGAGAAGCTGATATTAGATAGAGAGCTGATGTTACATAGAAAAATAAGTAATTATAATAAAGTCTGATGCTCAACAAATGTGAGTATTCTTGTCTTCTTGTGCCCATTTGCCCAATTCAGCAAAAAAGTATTATGAATCTATTAGAATTTCTGCCCTAGAGAAACTTTCATTCTGAAGATCTTACTCTTGAATTATGGCAAAACTAACAATAGAGACAATTAGATACTTGGACATAATAAAATATAAGACTTGAGTAGGCAGTGCAGATGAGTGAATGCAGACAATGAGGTATAGTGGCATGGGAGAGGTCTGCCTTGAGTCAACTCACAATTCTTGTCTGAGTCATGATTTCCTCATTGGTAAAATGAAGGAGTTGGATTTCAATGTTGTACTCTTGTGATTTACAAATAAACCTCTGCCCTTAAATTCTAGCGTCGGCAGCTGGAATTAGCTGTCATCAGATGTCACCCTCCACATTTTTCTCTTTCTTTCCTTGTTTTGGCAATGCATAAACCTACTGTAAAATCTATCATAAATTCAAACTTTTGAAACAAGACGTGGCACTTCAGTACTCTTGCATCCAGGGAGAATAGGAATGTTCTGGTGCTTATTTAGGTAATGTCAGTTTGAACCCCTAGGAGCCAAACTATAGCAGAAACAATTTCATTATGGTAAAGGATAACTAGCTGTTAAGACGGATTGTGGTAATACTGAACAAACAACCGAGGTTATACTAATGAAATAATCCAAAAATAGATTACAAAGAGATTTTAATCTTTTGGGATGAAGAGATTTTAAGAGGGTCTTGAGCAACCTGTTATACACGTGAGAGTGACCAGGTTACAGCAAAATAAAGGAATTTTGTTTGCAAACCTCTACCTACAAAAAACCTGGGAGCAGGGACAAAGGCATTTAAGCTTGGAACTCTCAGCAGCCTGAGGGTTCTAGGATTTCTGACTCTAAGAGAGATGAGATCATGAAACTCTGATCATATGGGGAAGGAGTGCAATGCTTCTAAGAAGGGTTTGGAGGGATCTCACACATGAGTTTCCAGATGTCTTATATCCCATCAAGGGTATAAGAGCAGCTCTGTCCAATACGTATATCACATAAATCACATATATATTTTAAAATTTTCTAGTAGCCACATTAAAAAGAGTAAAAAGAACCAAGATAGTGATTTTATTATTTTATGTAACCAATATATTCAAAATAATATTTTAACATGTAATTAGTATAACATATTAATGAGATATTTAGTATTCATTTTTTTTTAATACTAAGCCTTCAAAAGCCAGTGTATATTTTATGCTTTTAGCACATTTCAGTTTGGACTAACCACACTTCAATAGCCATATGTGGCTGGTGATTCCCATCGTATTGGACAGCAAAGTTCTAGAGGAAGACATGTACAAAGTTACTTGTTGGGAAAAGCAGAAAAGGAGAAAGGACTTACAGAGTGCCTACATCAATTGGTTATGAGTAACACATAAACCAGGAACAACCAACTGCAGAGGGCCGCAGGAGGCCTTGGAGGAGGAAGGGAAGGCCTCTCCATGCCTCATGTTCTGGTGCAGGGTGACCTCGGCTCTGTTACCATAAACATTGTGCTCAAGAACGTAAAACCCCTTCGTAGCACTATAACGTAGCCAGACTTGTAGGCTCCTTGTAAGGTCCGTGTTCCACCAGCTGTGCATAGATAATAAGTTAAAGATAACCACATGTTCTTGTTTTGTGAAACTCGCAAACCACCACTGTTATCAATTCTTAGAATCACACACCAGTTCCGGCTCACTGATTCACTCAACCATCACTCCACTCCTACCCTATGATAGATCAAAGTGATTGTAATCAATAAATAATGTGGATGATCACAGCTTAGGGCCTTCACTGTCTCCTCCAAAGTAATGAGCGATGGCCCCCTGGTCCCACTATCTCTCTTAATCTGTCTTTTTCTCATTCCTTTGTCCCACCGAACTCAGGTACCCATCGGTGATGTAGGGCTGGTTCCCTACATTCTGGTGCCCAATGTGTGGGGCTCAAGACCAATCTTGGCCTCTTTGGGGAATTAGTAATTGTAGGGATCCATGAACCCTTCTAATTAGTAATTAGATTACCCAGGACTTCTACCCTAACTCACTTAATTAGGGTCAAGAAAGGCCATATATTTGGAGTAATGAATGCTTGGCTTCTCTAGGCAACGTCAACTCCATCAGTGGGAGTAAACACACAGAATTAACTCAGGACTTACGACCAGTCTTTTGCTAACAGGGATCAAGAGGGAGCCCCAGAATACCACTGTCCTCTACATGCCAACTCTCATAGCTTCGCTGGCATTACTTGTCTTGAATATATCATGACATATTTTACCCATGTTTAAGCCAATCAACACAAGAAGCATTGTTCTCCCAGGTCATCTCCTGCATTCAAATCTGCATAAGACTCTGCCACTGTCTGGCCGCAGTAGTGTAAAAGACCCCAAACAAGAATGCCCAACTGAGCCCAGTCAACCCACAGAAGAAGCATAAGAGATAACAAGAAATTGGTTGTTTGAAGCCATTAAGTTTTGGGGTGGTTTTTTATGGCGCAATAAACAACTGAGACATTTAGATGAAAGATCTTGGACTCATTCCCTTCCCATATTTAATCTATCAGGAAATTCTGATAGATTTTATCCTCATTTTACTTTTATTTTATTTTTTGAGACAGAGTCTTGCTCTGTCACCCAGGATGGAATGCAGTGGTGTGATCACTGCACTGCACTGCACACCCCCTGAGCTCACTGCAGCCTTGACACCCCAGGCTCAAGCAATCCTCCGGCCTCAGCCTCCTGAGCAGCTGGGACTACAGAAGTAGTCCCATCATTGGTGGCTAATGTTTTTGATTTTTTTGTAGAGACGAGGTCTTGCTATGTTGCCCAGGCTGGCCTCAAACTCCTGGGCTCAAGCAATGCTTCCACCTTGGCTTTCCAAAGCACTGGGATTACAGGCGTGAGCCACTGTGCCCGGTTGTTCTGTCTTAAAATATACATAGGATGTAGACTTCCTACCACCTCTGTGCTGCTACCCTAGTGCTAGCCTGCGTCTTGTCATGCCTGGCTGACTGCAACAGTGACCTACCTGTCTCACTGCTTCTGCCCTTGCCCTGTTACAGTCTTTTCCCAAGACAGCAATCAGAATGGTGCTTTAAAAACATGTCAGATCATGTCACTCCTATGCTCAAAATCTCCCAAAAGTTCCCTATTTTATTCGTGTCAGTGAACAATCTCATGATGCTTGTGAGGTCTTGTGTATTTTTCCTCTCTGACCTCATTTCCTACTGCTCGGTCCCTCCCTCAGTTTCACTCCAAACAACTCCTGGAACATTCCAGGCATAAAGCAGTTTCAGTTCCTCGCCTGACTGTTCCGTCTGCCAGAAATGTTCTTGCACTAGATAGCCTCAAGCTCAGTTCCCGTCATCTTTCAAATCTTTGCTCAACTGTTACCCTATTTAAAATTGCAATCCGCTTCCACTTCGAATCCCTTTTCCCTGCTTTTTTTTCTCCCATACTTTGTATCATTTCATATATTATATACTTTGCTTATTTCATGTGTTTATTGTTTACTTTATGTCTCTTTCCAATAGAATGGAAGCTCTCTGAATGTAGGGATTTTTGTCTGTTTTATTTACAAACGTATCTGAGGCATCTAGAACAGTCTAGTACCTGGTAAGCACCCAATAAACACTTGCTGAATGAATGAAAATCTGTTGCCTTGGAGCTCTGAGGCTGTTTCCCGGGCAATTCTCACAGTTATACCTGAGGACACCCCTCTGAGGCTCTGTTTGCACTTTGTCATTCTAATGGGTCAGAGGCATGTCTAATCACACAAAAAATAACAATGCCCAATATAATAATGGAAGGAGATATTCTTTTCCACTGGCTGTTGTGCTCAGACACATTTCAACCCTCCTGCCTCAGGGAGAGTTTACTATATATGAACTTCTTCCAGAGATGGGGGAAGACTTTATATCTTTGCTTTTGTAGGCCATACTGTTTTTATTCCTGACCTTGTTCACAGGTTATCCTAAGCCTTAAACTCTTGTAGACCTTTCTCACTAAGCTTGAAACCCTCTTCAACACCACAGGAATGATGCTCCTGAGATCTGGATGTTGAACAGAATTTCTATAAGTTTTGGAAAATGTGTTGGGGTAAGTGATTAGGAAATCTTACAGCAGGACTGTTAAAAATCCAAGCCTGGTAGGATTTTCTCCTACAAAGGAATTGCTACAGTTCTGTCCACTAACCTGAAATAACAGAACAAGTCACCAGGAGATGTGTGTACACGAGGGCCCTGAACCTTCTTGGAGTGAACTCCTCTTCTTCCGTCTATCATGCATTTAAATATTAAATTCAAGTACATATTTCTTCTCTCAAGAACTGTTCCTTTACAAAGCCTGTCTATGAAGCCCATGAAAACAACTAATCTTCTTAGGTTCTTTGTAAATTCTATTGCCTTCCTTTCTCAATAGCAAAAACAAGCAGACAAAAAAAAAAAAAACCCCCAAAAAAAAATAAAATCTTGGGCCCTTCTGGTAAATGAGAGGAGTCATGGTACTCTGCTAGGTCAAATTTACACACACACACAACACACACACACACACACTCACACACACACACAGATACATACACATATACACAGGCACACATACACACACACACATTTTTCTCTAGGAAAATTTACCCTTTCCTAATTTTCCCTAGAAGGGGAAAAATATCCATCTATTGGCTTTTGATATGCCGTTTAACTTTTTAGTGGGTTTCCTTTTATATTTCTTCCTCAAAAATACTTTTTTCTTCCATTCTTCTAGTCTGAATTCCAATTTCTGTCCTGTCTCTACCTGCAGTGTGGTAAGACTATGATGCACTCACAGCACATTGTGAGTAGTAACAAGCCAAAAATTAGGGGTCACATCCAGGTTCAAATGCTGATGTGGGAGAGGAAAATATTAATATGGAGAGGCAAAAGTAGAGTAAGGAGGAAGGCAAAGCTGGAGCTGCAGTTTTGGAAGAAGCTACTGACTGCTCAGAAGTCCAGCAGGTTGAATTTGCCAGAACTTCTTAATATCAAATTTCTCTGTGTCTTAAAACCCGATTCTCCTGAGTTCTCCTGTGTAGTAGTGAATAGTTTCCTATCCACTTCAGTACTAAAAAAAATGGCTTTTTTGATATTCTGGGAAACTGAAACAGTATTATTTCTAATTTTAGATTTCCCCTCAGTTCTCAAGGCCTCAAACACAATACCCTCTAATGACATTGTCTTGGGGGTGACCCCAAATTATCATTTATTTCTTACTTATGAGCAGAGAGTTTGTAGCTTTTACTTGCCTTGTCTCTTTTAATACCTACAGCCACTGCCTGGGACAGGAGGAGGGAGTGTGCATAAAGGATCACGTTTCCACAATTTGCCATTTATTTCCACATAAGCTGATTACAGGCTGTGTTTCCTTTTCGTTATTCCACAGCATCTCTTTAGCTCTGCTTCAGTGGTAAATCCCTCTAATGTGCCAGTCTTCCTACCTCAACTGGATTCAATCTGAAAAGTAACTTAATAAAATCCTAAATGTAGACTCCCCCCCACTTGGGGTCAAATTAGAACTCCACTAAGGAAGGAACTCCTACAAACAAAAAAGCAGGAGTAGCCCTTTTTGAGTTGGCTTGGCATTGTTGACTCTGTGTGGGTGCCGGCATCCCAGTCATCTCAAAGGGGAGATTTTGTTAATGAAACAACATGAAGAGACGAACTGTCTTTTGAGAACATAAGCCAGAGATAGATGCCCTGGGAATGTGAGTGCTATGGCACTGTCTAGGTGAAAGGAGATGCCTACTTCCACACTCCAACACCACAGTGCACCTCATGCTTTGCTGTGCAGTGGGAGGGGGTGCTTGACCTAGAGGCTTCGATTCAATCCCACATCACAATTTCCCTCTAGAATCTTCTTATTTAATAACCACTGACCCCACCATAATAGGTCTCTGGGGAATATGCCAATTCTCTTTCAACGTTCTGGCCAAAGAGTGGACAAAAATCCCTTCTCTTGATTTCCCAAGAACAGGCTGGGACTCTCAAGAGATTTTACTAAATGACAATGAAAATCAAACAAATTAAAGAAATTATTAAAAAATATAAAAATCACAGAGGGTACAATAGTTACTTAGAAATGAGGAATACAAAGTATTATGAAAAGTCTGAAGCATCTACAATTATTTGTGGCTGATTTCTAGGAAATTTCTCCTTGCTGAGAATAGCTTTATCTGACTACCCAGAAGGTTTAATTCCTTGCCACAGAGAGTCCCCAGGAGTCCCTCAGGATGTGGTCTTGGTGGTTGAGCAGGATATACTGCTATAAAATGCTAAGAAAAGTTCTAGGAAAAGTGCTGGACTCTGTGGCTCATGCCTATAACTCCAGCTCTTAAGGAGGCAGAGGCGGGAGGATAGTTTGAGTCCAGGACTTCAAGACCTGCTTGGGTAATATAGTGAGACCTCATTCTCAAAACAACAACAACAACAACAAAACAAAACAAAAAAGTTTTAGGAAAAGTTTAAACATATTTGTGCATTTTAAAAGCTGACTTAGGTACAAAATCTTTGTCCTGAAATTTTACAGTCGGACTGAGGTGGAGTGTAGTATATCTCTTGGGTGAGCAGGGTATAGATGACCTGAAAACAATTTTCTGCTTCCATTGCAACTGCATACGTGAGCATAACATTCTTTTGCCTGTGTAGTAATGAAGTGTGCATTTAATGTTCAGTGTGTGGGTATTCCCCCTGGAATCTCTGCTCTGGGAAACAGTCCTCCTTAGACACTGGGAATGACCACCCTTTTCAGGTAAAATACCATCTTCTAAGTACAGGGGTATCACTATCTTCTCACAGACCCACCCATAAAAGAGTAGCATAAAGATAGTAATTAAATTATTTAAACTATCAGAAAATATCACATTTTCTGATATTTTTGTTAGTGTCTATTGTAAGTACTTTATACAATTAATTTACCTGACATTATTTAACCTTCAAAACAACTCTATAAGGCAGTTGCTATTTTATTTTATTAAATTTATGAAAATAATAAATTTTATTTATTTAATAAATAAAATCCCCATTTTATTTTTTATTAATTTTATAGAGATGAGATCTCACTCTGTTACCCAGGAAGGTCTTGAACTGTCTCTATTTTAATCTTCTAATTTTGACATTTCTCCTTATGTATTACAATACTGCAGTGAACAGTCTTGTTGATATTTTTTTCACATTTGTTTCTATTGGATATATTTTTTGAAATGGAATTATTAGGTGATAAGACTTACAAATTTCACATTTTTAATAAATAGTGCCTAAATCCCCTTCAAAAATGTTTGCCGACAACCCCATTATTTGTGTTCCATTTTTGAAATATATAAATGTGTGTGCAAATCAACTGCTCTGCATGGGTAGTTCCTCACAATTTCTGTAATGGAAAACAGAGAGGGAAAACCACTTACAGTTTCTGGGGGAGAAAAGGTTTCAGCTTCAAGGAAAGAGAATTTCAGTAGGAGAAACTATTGTGAAAAACAAGGTAATTTTCTTTTTCATTTTTGTTTTGAGATGGAGTCTCACTCTGTTGCCCAGGCTGGAGTGCAATGGCACAATCTTGGCTCACTGCAACCTCCGCCTCCCAGGTTCAGGCGATTCTCCTGCCTCAATCTCCTGAGTAGTTGGGTTTACAGGTGCCCACCACCATGCCCAACTAATTTTTGTATTTTTAATAGAGACGGGTTTCGCCATGTTGGTCAGGCTAGGCTCAAACTCCTGACCTCAGGTGATCCTCCCACCTTGGCCTCCCAAAGTGCTGGGATTAGAGGTCTGAGCCACCATGCCTGGCCAACAGGGTGATTTTCTACTTTGGGTAAAAATAGCTGGACATTATCTTCTTCCCAGGCTCTGGTACCCACTTCTCCAGCAGGCTGCATTGCTGGTCGTTTTTGGCTCCAGTTGGAAGCAAACTGCTCTAATACCTTTTGATGAGATTTTGACCAGGAATGACCTTAAACAAAAAGGAATACTCTAACAAGGAGTATACTGGCCAGCACAACAGTAACCCCTTCCCAGAGTTTTCACAAGGACACAAGGGGATACATAATACATTTATCTGTAAAGCCAACTCAACTCCTACCTGGAATTGTTCCTGATTGGTTAGCAGAAACAGAATTGAGGACTGATGACAGTTGCACAAGAAGATGAAATCATTTCCTTCCTCTTTTCTAAGCTTGTCTCTTAAACCCCACTAGACTTTGGCACAGTGTGGGATGACTATGGAGACCCAAATGTCTCAGAATGTATGTCCTGGCAACCTGTGGCTGCTTCAACTACTGACGGTTTTGCTGCTGCTGGGTGAGTGAGGGTCATTCTGAAATAGGGCAATTTCAGCCACTCCTGCTGCCGGGACTCCAGGCACCAGTATGGTAAGGAGCAGGCCTGAGCCCTGGAAGCAGACAATAGATTGAAAGAGGAGAAAGGACCCTGAATTCTTAAGTGTTCCAATGGTTCCTGAGGTCAGAACTCAGAGCTAGTTTCGTAGTACCTGGGAAGTCCATTCTGCACCAAACATTCATGTGTACTGTGTAGCCATGAGAAGGGACAGGGAATGAGATAAGGGGGACATGTGAAGTGAATACTCGTATAAGAGAATAACAGGAAACAGGATCTTGAGATGGGTTCTGGAGAAGGAGGAGCCTAAGCTCACCTCCCCCGCCCCATTCACATATGCCGCTAAATTTGCAGCCATCTCTTCCTGCTCAGTGTTCACCCACTGCCTTCTGTTTTACAGCTTCTGCAGACAGTCAAGCTGGTGAGTATGCTCTTTGCTTCCTTGTATTGACAGTGTTATTTCCTCATAATATGATGCTGTGTTTACTCTGGGGGGATATGCCTGTGCCACTGAGAATCAGGCTTGGGTTCTGCATGGGCAGTTCCCCTATTTTAGTGGGGTCTGGGATTTGCTTCTTAGATCCACTGAAGACCCAAGGGAATGAGGCTGCCGCAAGTACAGATCTTGAACTGAGTCTACAATAGGATTCTTTGGTGCCTGACCTCCCTTGGGAGTTCCTTTGGCATCCACAGTACCTTTAGGGTTATTTATTTACATCCCTTTCCACTCTCTGCCTCTCAGCAGCTCCCCCGAAGGCTGTGCTGAAGCTCGAGCCCCCATGGATCTATGTGCTCCAGGAGGACTCTGTGACTCTGATGTGCCAGGGGGCTCACAGCCCTGAGAGCGACTCCACTCAGTGGTTCCACAGTGGAAATCTCATCCCCACCCAAAAGCAGCCCAGCTACACCTTCAAGGCCAACAACAATGACAGCGGGGAATACAGGTGCCAGACCGGCCGGACCAGCCTCAGCGACCCCGTGCATCTGACTGTGCTTTCCGGTCAGTGGAGGAAGGCCCTGGGGTGGACCTGGGAGAGCTAGGACGGATGAAATCTGTTTACAGGCAAAGGTTGACAGGAAAGGGGGGTGGCCTGCTTACTGGGAAGCACTGCTGATCTCATTCATTCCCCATTTCACCCCCCCACTTTGCTTAGCATGTGTGGTGGGGGAGGGAGGAATTGCTAGTAATTTCCTCAGTATATGTTAGGTTGTTTTTGCCTCAGTCTTGATTGAGCAAGAGGGTTACAAGGCCACAGACAGCTGAGTGTGAGAGGAGCAGAAGGAATTCCCTACTTTAAAAAACTACCTTTCACCTGAGGCTGTGTGGTAAAGCAGAGAGGTTGGAGGGAATAGACCTGTAAAGTCCCTAAGGCGGAAGGCTGCCAGACAGGTGTGAGGAGGTGGGAGTGCAGAATTCAGCCTGGAAGATGAAGTCAGAGGTGAGGGCAGGGTGAGGGGAGGTCAAGCAGAGGCTGGTAGGCTGTTGCAATTATTTTGACTTTTATTCCTGAGTAAGTGGAGATGGCTTTAATTAAAGGAGTCACAATCTGATTTAGGTTTATGTCAATATTTGACAGTGTTCAGTTAAAAAGACTGTAGAGAAAATGCTCCTAGGAGATAATATTCTTTCTTTCTTTTTCCTCAAGTAGCTGGGACTTCAGGTGCACACCACCAGCCATGCCCAGCTAATTATTTTTATTTCTTTTTATAGAGACAGGGTCTCACTATGTTGCCCAAGCTGGTCTTGAGCTCCTGCCCTCAAGTGATCTTCCCTCCTCAGCCTCTCAAAGTGTTGGGATTATAGGTGTGAGCCACCAAGCCTGGCTTAGATACTGTTTCTACCTGCTTCCAATGTCTGAAAATATAAGCACATTTCTATTGTTTTTACTTGAGCTGCACTCTTGGCGCATAAACCCCAGCGATGGTCACAGGTAAACATTTAGTGTTTTAGATTCTCCTGTTCACTGAGAGGGTGATGTTTTTGTGGTCCTTTAAGGCTGCTGCTGTACCAGAGAGATCCTGGTAGTGGATTCATTTTCTGTTGAAGAAGAATAAACATTGAGTCAACCTCAAAAGATGCCCATGACATCATAGTTCCTCTCTGTATTGGCTTCCCTGAAACAGCTGATAGTACTTCTAACCCTTCCTATGAAAATGAAAAAATACAGATAATAAAAATTGAGGGCTGGGTGCAGTGGCTCACACCTGTAATCCCAGCACTTTGGGAGGCCGAGGTGGGCAGATCACCCGAGATCAGGAGTTTAAGACCAGCCTGACCCCACATGGAGAAATCTTGTCTCTACTGAAAATACAAATTATTCTGGTGTGGTGGCACATGCTTCTAATCCCAGCTACTCAGGATGCTGAGGCAGGAGAATCCCTTGAACCCGGGAGGCAGAGGTTGCAGTGAGCCAAAATCGCACCATTGCACTCCAGCCTGGGCAAAAAAGCAAAACTCTGTCTCAAAAAAAAAAAAAAAAAAAAAAAAAAAATTGAGATCTGAAGCGTTGTTACAGAGAAACTACCTGGTCCCACCCATCCATTGTACAAAGAAATGAAGCTGATTAGACCCAAGAGCACAGCCAAAATCCCAATCCCTCCTTTAGTTTCTATTTCATGCCATCTCAATAATGGTACCTGGCCTTTCATATATAGAATACTGTTTTCTTAAATAAATTTTTATTTAAATAAGATAGAATAAATTATATGTATTTCTATGACAGAGCAATTTGATTTTCTTCTTTATTAAGTTTATTGAAACTTTGTTAATAGATTTGTCTTCTGAGGTAGCTGAACTTTGGAATCTGATAACTCTGCCATCAATGAAGGGAAGGAATTATTGGGAGTGAGGATGTTTGTAGGCAAAAAGGAAAAAGTGATTTTAAGTTTTAATTTTTTCTTGAATTCCTTTTATTCAGGGTCACAACTGAATGTTGAATTCACCTGTGGGAATTCAAAAGTCATACCTTTAATTTCTTATGTGGATGGAAGATTGAGAGTGTGGTATGGTCTGAATGTTTCTGTGCCCCCAAAATTCATATGATGTGAATTAATCAAACAGCAACCCCAAGGATGATGGTATTAGGAGGTGAGGTCTTTGGGTAGGTGATTAGGTTATGAGGCAGAGCCCTTGTGAATGGGATTAGTGCCTTTATAAAAGAGGGCCAAGGGAGCTCAAAGGCCTTTTCTACCATGTGAGGACACAGCAAGAAGCCTCAGTTCTGTGAACCAAGAAGTAGGCTCTTACCAGACAAAGAAGCTGCAAGTACCTGATCTTGGACTTCTCAGCCTCCAGAACAGGGTGAAATAAATTTCTGCTGTTCATAAACCACCCAGTATATAGTATTTTGTTATGGCAGCCTAAGACAGACTAAGACAGGGCTGGTGAGGTATGATTAAGGGTCTATTTTTTTTAAAACCAGCAACAACATGTGGAAAAAAGAGGGAAAAAAGGCTCTATTTTATTGCAAATACAGTTGGTGGCTGCCCACCCTCACTTCCCAAAGCTTGTACAAAATTTACCATTAAATTAGTAATCCCCAGACCACAAAAACCGATGGCTTCAGGTCCTGTTGAGTAACCTCTATAGTTACTGAAATGCACTCATTTCTCTGCTCAAACGTGGTATTTTAAATTCCTCAGAATTGTTTTAAATATCTGTTCTACATCTTTGAAACTTCTGAAAACTTCTGTTTTTTAGAGGACCCATAGATATAAATACCATATATTGCCTATAAGAGAATGCTCACATCTGTCATGAAGCATCTTCATTTCTCTCTGCCAGACGCCATGTCAAGTCCTGTGAGTAATGTACCTCTGAGAATGAGACTGAAAAACCGTTGGAGTCTAGCCTTACAACTTTTTCTTCTCATATTTGTGTCTTTCAGAGTGGTTGGCGATCCAGACCCCTAGGCTGGAGTTCCAGGAGGGAGAAACCATCAGGCTGAGGTGCCACAGCTGGAAAGACAAGCCTCTGGTCAAAGTCACATTCTTCCAGAATGGAAAATCCAAGAAATTTTCCCATTTGGACACAAGCTTCGCCATCCCACAAGCAAACCACAGTCACAGTGGTGATTACCACTGCACAGGAAGAGTAGGCCACACGTGGCACTCTTCCAAGCCTGTGACCCTCACTGTCCAAGGTATGGGGAGTCTGCCAAGATGTAGGGAGAGAGAGGAGGGGATGGACAAGGGCTAAGGTCACATGGGCCTACATGGAGATCTGAGAAAGGCCACAGCAGCAAGATTGGGTGCTGGAGCAAAGAGGAGAGTTGTGGAGGTCTGGCTAAGTATTGGCCAATGAGCAGGAGTAAGGGCCAGAGCTTGGAGCCCTGAGGTTTCAAGTAATAGGTGGCCAGGCTGTTGTTCCACTTTGAAATGCAGGCCCGAGTCTAAAGATGGCAGCGAAGCAGAGTTCCCTCATTGATGCGGAGGCATTCTTAAGAGCTGAGTTTCCCCTCGTTTATTCTCATGACTCACGGTATAGCCATTCACTCCAGAAGGCCTGGCATGTCGTGGGCTATTCAAGGCTGTGCTCCATAGAGTAATGATGCCTCCAGCTATGGGAAGCTATGGGGCCACCCTCCCCACTGCCTCGGAGGGCTAAGGGGAACTCTT